CGTACGGTCTGTAGTGTCTATGAGGTCAAATGTCAAGTAAATCGACTCCTTCGTTGCTTTTAACGTGACTTTTAACACTTATCGTCATCACTAGTTTGCATCTCTTGTTACAATTGGAGTTTGTCATCGGTCACTGATTTGAAATGCCTCAATGTTTGGTGCGTAATTTCTCAATAGGTTCTCTCCTTTCGTCATAGTTGGTTGCAGTGTCAAATGAACAAGAATAGGTTTCTTTAACTAGCTTTGCTTATTGTAATTACCAATTCAGGTCTTTAATCACTTTAGGATTTAATTAGACACATCAAGGAGGGAGAATGCTTAGAAGGCTATGAACAAGTAAAGCTCTTGATTGGAGTTGGAAAGGGAGGTTGAGGAAGGGATTGAGTCTGAGGGGAGGTGGCGCTGGAATAGGGTTTGTCAGAACTTAGTGGCGTCCTTATTACGTGAGGGTCTTGGTCATTAAGTACTGTTTAATTTGTTTCCCAAATGTTTATTTTTGAGCTGAGCCCATCTCCGTGGCCAATAAAAAAATAATTGCATCGGAGATTATAATGAGTAGTGTAGAGGGAATAAGGAGAGGGACGTTGTGTTGTGCTTACCTTTGAATGCTAAATGGAATGTTTGTGCAGTTCTCCACTCTTCTTCTCCAAAGTGTTGGCCTTGCCTTTGTGAAGGGTTGTCGCGTTTGATTAAGCCTTTGCTTTTTTGGTGCTTGGCAGACTTCCTGCACCCGTCGTTCCAACATTCTCCTACTTCTCGGATCTCGTGCCAGACATCTTTGTCATTGCAATTATCACCTTTGCTATCAACGCTGGACTGGTGAAGACCTATGCCGCAGAATTTGGCTACGACGTTCTCGTTAATCAGGTTTGTGAAAGGAACACACAAAGTTGAGGGCTTATTTGGTGGTAAGCCTCCTATAATGTTGTGTTAATGGGTCAGTTTAATGATGTCAGGGCTACTCTTTTGGACGTTGCCAAGAGTGTGAGTAGCGAAGAAGTAGCTTTGTGTCACATGGGCTAACTGTGGGATGCTATGCAAACTTGATGTCTGCTACCAACTAAATCTTCTTTATTCATGGGAAAATGTACGAAGGAATGGAATTGGCATTAAGTAGTTTGCAGGTGCAGTAAGACGCAATTATTGGAACGCTAGGTTAGTGTGGTTTTTCCTCGTGCTGCTTGATCACAAGTATGACAGCGTAAAGTAGCGCAACGGTTTTTCTGGTTTGGAGGAGCACTGGGCGCAATAATCTTTCCTGCTAATTTTAGGAGTTACTGGCTCTCGGAATTAGCAACACCTTTGGCTCCTTTTTCCAATGCCACACTGCGAGCGGGGCACTGAGTCGTACTGCCGTTGTCGTCACGATTGGCATGGCATCTCAGGTTGGTGTTTCGTGAGGATTTTGATGTGGTGTGTACAG